GTGCTCTTGGGTGGGACCGTTTACATACTGAGTTAAATTAAATGAGTCCAATAAATCTAAAAAGTCCTTAACCAAGGGCTTCTCCTGACAGCTCACATGCAAATAAAGTCCCCAATAATGTAAACATGATCATATTTTGGTGTGATTTCAGCCAAGAAATCAGAAAACTCATTTATGAAGTCCTTAGATCGAGGTGGACGGTAGACGAGTGCGCATAAAGTCGAAGGTGAATGGCCGAGTTCAAAGACACTCAGCTCAAAGCTGGCACGGGAAACTGGGATGGGCAGTTGTTTACAGTCAAATGTTGATTTGAATATTGTTAATAATCCACCATCGCGCCAGCCTGATGGCCGCGGTGCGTTAAAAATACAGACAGTTCGGTGGCAAAAATTCCGTCAAAGTGCTGGACTCACCCAGAGACATCCAAGTCTCTGTTATGCAGAGAAAGTCCAAATTGTGCTCTTGAAAGTAGTCCCTCAGGATAAAAGTTTTGTTGGTAACAGATCTTGCGCTGACCAAACGCATCCAGATACTGTCCAAGGTGGATCCAGCAGCTGTGGAGGGAACGCGCGCCTGTGGCCGCAGATTTACAATAACAGCTCGTCTGGGTCGGCACGTGCGGTGCACCGGCCGACAACTGCCATTGTTTATGTAGTGAGATAGGTCGGTTAGCTTCGTTTAGCTTCGGAGCTCCACTACACGTTATAATATCTGGACTAGTTCAAGTACCTGATATTATACTTAATTTAAACGGGTTCTCTCTTTTTCGAGCTACTTGACAGATATGTGACAGAGATCAGTGACGTGAGACGTTAAGTTTCTTTGACCCATCAAAATGAATGCGGTCATTTATCAACAGAATCAAAGTTTAACATCAAACATTGTACACGTGATTATTCTGATTGTACGCAATAACACATTTTAATTAATGAGCTTTACAATGAGAAACCATACGGCCATGGTATCTCACCGATAGAAGATAGAAGAGTTTTAAAGATGGGAAATGAGGGAGTTTAAATGGAGAGAAAAGATGTGTGAGGGAAAATGTGTCGACGAAGAACGGCACCCTCCTTTCGAACCCAGCTCTACCTCGGTACACTTCGGTAGTGGAAATCGACTCTTTACCTTGTAGAAGATGTCTCCACTGGTACGGAGTTCCATTTAACGCTACCTTTCCAGCGTCTCCGTAGGAACAGCTGAGAATCGTCCGAAGTAGTGACGGTACTTCGTTCAACAGCACGCTCACCTCACGGGTGGACTCACATGAGCTGTGAGTCCGTCAGAGGTTCCACTCAGATGTGGAAGATTCCATAATCCCCACGAGACTCGGAAGAACTTCGGATCATGTCTGGAACTTCTTGTTCTCTCCAGCAACTTTTCTGTTCGGTTCTGCTCTCCGAACTGAACTGCACTGCTTGGAACTAGGAAGTGTCGACATTTAAAGAGTTCTGTTTCCGGTTCATTTGGGAAGTCCTGATTGGCTGAAAGAGCCAATCAGGGGTGTGGTTTTAGTGACGTAAGAGGTCACTAGAAGTCAGAAAAACAGAAAAATGTTTTTGAAACAGACAGAGAAATGTTTAGGCGAGATGGGAGGAAACAGGTGCCAGCTTCTCTATTTACGTCTGAGAGGATTTAAAAACATGACAGTTCGTTCCAACAAACTTGTTTTTGACCGTTACTTGACTTCTGACCCACATCACGACTTGCTCATTTCAGACAGAAGATCAAAATGCATAATTACTCTTGTAACAAACATTAACTTGATTTCTACTTTGAATGAGGATTAAAAATCATTTATACTGTTTCACAGTTGATTTAAAATGAGTAGTTCACTTCAACATTTAAAATGGTTTGAACTAAACACACTTTTGATTATCAAGATATTGTAAAATAGTAATGATAATAAAAAAGAGAGTGTTCTTTCAATTGATCAGTGCAGGACACACTTAGAAAGTCTCTGGATGAACTTAATTTTGTGTTTCTGGACTCAAATCAATGAAATAACAGTTCTTGTCCTGGGAAGGCCATCAGGGCCAGATTTTGACCTGAGGCTTAGTTCACTACATTTACCTGGTCCAGGCACGCGGGAAGCTGGCGATGGAAACCATGACCACCAGCTGGAGAGGAAGATGCAGCGCGCAGGGCTTTAAGCTTTACCTGCCGCCCAGCACGTTTTCCCCGGCGTCTGTAGTGATATCTCCGGGCAGGCAGGTGAGGAGCGCAGCGTAGGTAAACAGGCACGTCCGCCAGCAGTGGGGGAAGAGTTTTTTTTTTTTCCAGAGGTACTCTCATAATGATCCAATGAAGTGACATCGGCGGCAGAAAATCGAAGATTCAGAAGCTGTTGTCGGTCATATACCAGCAGTGAGTTTATGTCCCAGATGAAAAACGAACAAAATACAAATAATCCGAACACCATCAGCAGAGATGGATTGCAAGCCATGTACACGGGCTCCATCTTCCGGGAAGTGGTTTTCCATGAGGACAAAATGTCAGAAAATGCTAAATATAGTTATAGATATAGTTTTATACTTGGAAATCCTGCCATCATCTTTCTCCCACTCAACCCCTCCGTCTCTCTCCTTGAACACAAACACACAGCCCTCAGCTGCTCTCCCCCTCCCCTTCTTGCTTCTCCAGGAGGTGGGTGGGCAGGAGAGGAGATGTTTAGCAAAAGTAAATGCGAGCAGCTGAGTGTGTGTGAAGCTACAGCTACAATAGACCGGACTCCTTCCCTGAAACAAACCACGGTTCAGAGCCTATTTAGCCATGCTGTGCCTTTTAGAAGAACACAGCATGGCTAAATGAGTTCTGAACCATGGTTTGCTTCAAGGAAGGAGACCGGTCTGTCGAAGTTGCAGCTTCAAGGTTTCAAGTGGAAGCTCACTACTGCAGTTCACACATGCTTTCTAACGTAAAGATGGCACAGCTGAATGGACTGTACTTATATAGAGCCTTTCTATCTTATCCAGACACTCAAAGCTCTTTACAACACAATCTGTGTATTAATTTACCCATTCATGGCCTCTACTAGATCTCTACAAAGAATAATCAGTGCTTTATCACATTCATACACCGATGGGACACACATTAGAGGCAATGAGGGGTTCATTGTCTCACTTAGGAACACTTCAGCATGTGACTGCTGGTGGAATCGAACCCCCAACTCTTCTATTGGAGGACGACTGCTCTAGCCTCTCAGCCACAGCTGCCCCCAGCTGAAGAGGATTATTATCACTTGCTCTTGCCGAGGTCAGACGGTTTTCCCCTCCTCTCCCTCTCCGCTTTACTTTGCTGCTGTGTCTTGTCTGTGAAACTGCTTCTGAGCCTCTCTTGCATTTCTTCTGAATCATAATTATGGACTTGATTTGATCAATTGGTCCCTCAACACAATTTGATAACATTTCTTCGAAGAGGCTTGTTGGCACGCACACAGCTGGATATCTCATCAACTTGAAGACTTGATGATGTGTCTATCTCTGCTGCCATTTGTGGATTTTAAGGACACATATAATTGGATTTACAATAACTGGTTCCTGCTTTTTGGATTTGGCTGTTTGCTAGTTTTATCTACAATCAAGGAAGTCGTTGGCAGCAAATTTTGGACCTGATCATGCTGCTTACCTTTATGATGGCTTGGTTTGTGCCTTGAGTACCCAGACTCAAATTCTTTGGGCAGAATGGATCAGAGCTCAGGGATTTTACTCAGTCACGTTCCATCGGTGTGGCCATGTAATTTGGACATTTCAGAACCGTTTGGACCAACACAGACTCAAGGTAGATGTAAGTAAGTTCTGCCTGTCCCCAAAACAACTTTGTGTTTATCTGAATTTGGCTGAATTTGGCTCCCCTGGCTGGCCTTGAAGGCCACCTTATCTGAATTTGCCTGGAGAACATGCGATCTGATGGTCACACACACCATCAAGGAATTTCCAACTGATAAGCCAGATGAAACCAGCTGAATAAACATTGTGTCATCATTTCAGGACTCTTGGGTTCTCATAGACGTTATTCTTGGCCATTCCCCGACTTCCCTCGAGAATGTTTACGGATCTCACTGGAGAGAACTGGCTGACTATTCCATCCTTATCAGAACTCTTACAGTGTCCTCAAGAGTGTCCATGGACATTGCTCACCGCTCTCGTCCCCCCCCCCCCTTCCCGCGTGCGGAATGTCTACGTCACTATGTGCTTGTATGTGCGAGGTGTTTTTTTTTTATATTAGTTTTTTCTTCTCAGCCAAGAAGAAAGAGTCTGATAGGGTTTTTTTTGCCTTCATTTCCTACATGTGTCCAGTTTCATTACGTTTTTGTCTGTCTAAACAAATCTGACTTGTAAAGGAGTCTTCCAGGCTCAATGTGATTTATCTGTCTAAATAAAAGTTGAGTGAATGAATGAAAATTATTTAATATATGTAAATAGATGTCTAAAAAATAAACTATTTAATATATGTAAATATCTAAAAAAGTTAAGTCTGGTCCTCTGGACATTCAAAAAAACAAAACAAAAAAAAAAGTAAAAACGCTTCGAATGTCCAGAGGACCAGATTTAACTTTTTTTTATTTTTCTACCTGGATTATTGAGCATGCATCAGAATATATGTAAATAGTTTATTTTTTAGGCATTTATTTTGTACAGTTACAACTGGGACAAAACTTTGACTCAGAAATATATTTTTGTTATTAATTTATGGAAAGAAAAAATATCAAGATATATATCGTATATCGCAATTTATCTTAAAATATCGAGGTATAAATTTTGGCCCATATCGCCCAGCTCTAATACCGTCCAACAAAGTAAAGCATCCAGACAGAGGATTGGCACTGAAGCCAGCCATTCAGGGTCAAAGGTCATGGACTGGACTTCAGTGATTGCAAACTCTGCTTAAAGCTTTTTGGCACATGAACTGAACAGTACAAGAGACAAGTGAACCCAAACGTTCAAATCATCTGAACAAAACTTCCATTCCCAGAGTGTATGTAGTGTTTTTAATTAGTTTTTATGTTTTTCCCAACCTGCAGGGAGGTTCAGAGTGCTTCAGATGCAGTTCCTGAAGGAAGTGTGGTTTCTCCTCCACTGGACTCAGCCTGGGCAGAGTCCACCAGGAAGAAGGCTCTTCTCAAACTGGAGAAGCTGGACACGGATCTGAAAAACTACAAGGGCAACTCCATTAAAGAGAGCATCAGGTATACTGCTACCTGCTGGCTTCAGTCACTGCATTGCTTCTACTGGCCAACCAGTTCTGTTCATTCAGAGGTTCTGCTGTAAAAAGCCACGGGTCATGATGAGCTTTAGATGGTCCAGTCTGGAGTCAAACCACCACCACTTCCTGGTGTTAACGTATTAAAATAAGCATTTGAAAACATAAAACAGAAATGCAAATATTATGACTGCTGCTACCTAAAATACATCACACACTGCTTAATAATCATTTGAATATAAAAGAGTGTATTATTGTTTAACACAATGTTTATAGTTCTGTTCATTTTAACGCACAGTCGCTGTTTTAAATTGTCAGCTTTTTCCTGGACTAACAGCAGATGTATGATTATTGTTTTTATTCATGATGATAATTATGGGCGGCTGTGGCTGAGTGGTTAGAGCAGTCGTCCTCCACTGCAATAGTTGGGGATTCGAACCCACCAGCAGTCACATGCCGAAGTGTCCCTGGGCAAGACACTGAACCCCTCATAGCCTCTGATGTGTGTCCTATCAGTGTATGAATGTGACAAAGCTCTGATTAGTCTCTTTAGAATGATTTGTTTAATTATCTTTGTAGAGATCTAGTAGAGTGCTGTATGAATGGGTCAATGAGGACACAGATTTTAGTGTAAAGCGCTTTGAGTATCTTGAAGTAAGATAGAAAGGTGCTATATAAGTACAGTCCATTTACCATAATTATCTATTTTTAATTTTAATGCCAAAGAGACAATCTGGAGTAGAGTTGCATTGGGGCCTAAAAAGTCAGGACCGAGCCCGTAGTTTTTTGTCTTTTTTTTTCCGAGCCCTACCCAATGGATTAACTGTAATTAGAGGCCCAAATTCGAAAAAAAACCCACACTTTATTTATTTATTTATTTTATTTTATTTATTTTTTATTTTTCTCCCCCTTGTCCTGTCTGGCATTGTGACACTTAGAATTATTGTCTAATGCCCAGCAGATTTACTTTCACAAGCAGAGCATTATGGCTGGCCTTAATGCTCCACTTGATACATAAATTAAACTTTATTAGAATTTGCTATGGGCTTGTTTCAGATGTAATGGACATGGGGACGAAAGAACAAAGAAGATAACAAAGCAGAAAAGTGAGAGAAGAGTTAAAAGGTAAAGAAGGAGATAGGAATAGAGGAGAGAGAGAGAGGGATAAAGAGAACACAAATCAACATCATTGAAGTCTGACTCTAGACCTGTGGGGAAAAAAAAACAAAAAAACGACAAAACCAAGAAACCACAACAACAAACAACTTATATAATGATAGTTATAACATCATTAGAAAGTATTTTATACATTACATGGTAATACAAGATATATTTGATGGCCACCAACCCAACTGAGTGTGTATCTGATAAACACCTGAAACTAAACACCTGTGTGAGCATGCTTATCACTATAAGGTTTCTCCATAAAAATGTTCAATAGTGGATGTGGCGACCCACAGACCCGTCCCCACAGGACACGATGGCAACACAGGGAAGACCGGAGCCACAGACACACAGCGGTCCCACACCCCCCCAGAGAGAGAAGCAAAGGGAGTCCTCGGGTGATCCCCAGCAACCACAATGCAGAAATCCCAGGAGGCTGCAGCAACGAGTCCACAGGCCCCGTCGGCAACCTGCCCCTCCAGAGTAGATCCGGCCATGGACACCGAGCCCCGAGCCCCGAGTCCCGAGGTCATACCACCCCCCAACAGAGGCCCGACAGAGCCAGGGCACCCAGGCCCCGGCAGGCACCAGGACATGCCCGCACACACCCCACCACCCAGCCCCAGCTGCTGAGAGCCGCCAATGCACCGGCAGCAGGGGTGCCCACCACCGGAGGGGAGCACGTCAGGGGGAAGTAGACCCCACATTAAATTGGGGGCCCAAATTGATCATTGATCCAAGAGGGGGGACCACCTTAAACCCAACCTGAGACATAAACAGGCCCACATAGACAGCCCGACAGAGCCTCTGTGCCCCACCCACCCGACAGCAACTTTTTTTAAATTAAGCTTTTACTGCATTTGTAAGCAAACCAGTTTGACATGATAGTTTTAAAAACGTAACGAAAGGAAGATATGTTTATTTTTATTAACAAGTCACCAAATGGATAAATACAAAACGAATAGCCTAAAAAAGAACAAATCTAAAGATAGGCTATTATACAGATGAACAAAAAATATTTTTAGAGCAAAATTATTTAGAAAAATATAGAACAAGGCTCCAAAAAAGTTCAATCTGGTCCTCTGGACATTCAACAAAACAAAACAACAAAAAAATGTAGAAAAGTTTCGTCTCTCATCCGAGAGACTTCCTCAGTCTGAGGTGCTGTTTTCAGCTCAGTCTCTTAAATAGCACCTTCTCAGAGTGGATCAACCAGTTTGCTGCCTTCAACCAAAACCAGCTGATCACATGCTCAAGAAGGACCATCAGCCTAGCAATGGATCATTAGCACCTGATGGCTGTTTACTATTCACAGAGGGCTGAGTGATACTACTCTTTACGTGCATTCCTGTTGATGATGCAGTAGAGGTGGTCAGTTTAAAATTAAAATCAGACACCACTCTGAGCAGCAGGACCACGCACTCCACAGAACAACTGTGTCAACTCTTGAAACTGTGCCTGCAGTCAACCTACTTCACATATGGGGAGCAATATTATAGGCAGAAACATGGGTGTGCTATGGGGTCTCCAGTTTCTCCTATTGTTGCCAACCTGTACATGGAGGAGGTAGAAAAGAGAGCCTTGACGTCCTTTTCAGGGACACCACCAAGTCATTGGTTCAGGTATGTTGACGACACCTGGGTTAAAATTAAATCTCAGGAAGTCCAAGATTTTACTGACCACTTCAACTCTGTGGATAAATACATCAAGTTCATACGAGAAGATGAAAAAAATGGCTTTCTTGGACTGTGAGGTCTCAGTCTCTGATAGAGGACAATTGCAAACCGAGGTGTACCGCAAACCCACCCACACAGACCAGTATTTGCAGTTTGACTCCCATCACCCTTTGGAGCACAAGTTAGGAGTCATCAGGACTCTGTACCACAGAGCAGACAGCGTCCCCACTAACTTGCTGGGCCATCCTTTTGGCCAGTGGCTGTTTTGTTTCCCCGATGTAAGACTGATCACAGCCCTCCTGACACTGAACAGCATACACAACATTGCTCTGTTTGTGCCGGGGGACTGGATCTTTGGGATGAACCAGTCTTTGCCGTAATGTATTTTGGGGTTTAAAAGCCACTGGGACGTTATGTTTAGAAAATAAATGTCTCAGTTTCTCTGATGCTCCCTCAACATATGGAATGACCACTGGTCTGGGTCTGGGTTCCTCCTTTTCACCTGTTGGCTGACTGGAGTCCTGTTTGGGTTTCTTCTCTGCTTTCAGGAAGGCCCAGTTAGGATATCCACATTGCTCTAGAGCCTGTCTTGTGTGGGATTTCTCCTTCTGCCTGGCTCCTGAGCTAGTGGGGACGCTGTCTGCTCTGTGATACAGAGTCCAAATACAGAGGCCAAATACAGCCACACTGCAAAATTATCAAAGCTCTACCTCTTTATTCCTGCTACTGTTGTTAGTGAGAGGTTTTCTCCACCGCTTGAGATATTCACTACAACTAGATCTGTGCTTTTGGCAGAAAGTGTAGGTAAGTTGGTCTTTTTGGCCAAAAACTTAAAACTTGATTAGCTAGATTGTAAACGGTCTGTTGCTGCTTATTTTTCTGGTTCTGACTGTTATTGTATTTATTAAGATTTTTATTATTGTTAGTATAGTTTATTTATTCTAAAGAGTGCCGTTTATTTAAAATATCATCCAAATGGGTAATTTTTATACAAACGTATTGTTTACTTGGGATATTTTCAAAATAAACATTTTGTAAGTCTTTATGTTGGCCTTTTTTGTACCGAAAATTAACCGAACCGAGCCCTCCTTGAAACTGAACTGAACCGAAATGTGATTTTAGCATACCGTTAAACCCTTAGTATATTGCAATTTATCTTAAAATATCAAGTTCTTCATTTTGGTCCGTATCGCCCAGCCCTATTCCAAGGCTTTAACAATATTGCTTCCTTAGTCTGTCACCCATACTATTTTACTGAAGGAGGTGGTGTCCAGGCCAAATTTGTTAACAAGTAGGTGCAATATTTCCTTCCTTATGTTTTTGCCTGTTTTAGTGTATTCTGCTGGAAACACTGCTGTCATTAGAGTTTTTCCTACTAGTTTAAAGTCACTTCCAGTGAAATGACAGGTGATTGCCTTGTAACTCGTTTTCCTGTAGTGGTCAATCCACATATTTATGCTCAGTTCATGCCAACATTTCCAGTCGCAAGGGCTTCTTTGACCATTTGAATTAAGGCATCTCTTTTTTCCTCTGCGATTTCTGTGCACATTTTGGAAATTGTGTTGCGGTGTGGCAGGACGGACTCTGCCTAGACAGCCATAAGTGGTACCAACATTTATTAACTCTTGAGCCAGTTCTTGAAAACCTTTTCCACTCACCACATAAAAAGGCCTTATGCCTTTACAGCAAAACTGGATGCACTTTTTCGTGATGGCTTGCTTGAATCTCAGCGGCTCTTCCCTGCACATTAACAAATGACGTAATTGAGCTTTGACTTTCACCTTTTTTAGGAGTTTGACATGCCTTCATATGCCGATTCAGTGTTGAGGTGCCAGTTGCAGTCATAGCTGTGAAGAGCACCACATTTGATGCACCCCTCAAAACCAGTGCATACTGTTTTACCATTAACTACCAGTTAAAACGGTTCCAGACCTCAGACTTTGCACCGTGCTGGCTTTGAAGAGTGAGTTCTCCTGTTTTTAGCTTCTTTTATATATTTTTTGCTCCGATATTTTGCTTGTTGTGTGCGGGTCAAGTGCAAATCCTCAGATGTGTCATAAGAGGAGCAAAGCAAAGGGTGGGCGGGGCCATGCATAATTGCTGCGCAATGTGCTGCCAGCATTACTCTTTTCACAGTCTAAGGGTG